GGTTCGATTCTGGTCAAGGGCATGTACCTTGGTTGCGGGCACATCCCCAGTGGGGGTTGTGTAGGAGGCAGCTGATCGATGTTTCTTTCTCATCAATGTTTCTAACTCTCTATTCCTCTCCCTTCCTCTCTGTAAAAAATCAATAAAATATATTTTTTAAAAAAAAGAGAATCCTGGTTTTCCTGGAACGCTGACGGCCAACCACTCAGCATGTGACAGCACAGGCTGGTGCCGGGGGCTCAGGAGGGACCCGGACAGCCGGCCCGACGCAGGCCGTGTGCTCTCGTGGCCGCCGACACCTCCCGAGCCCCGGCCCTCGCCGGGAAGTCATGTGAGGACGGAGCGGGCTCGCCTGCTGCCCCGCCAGCCCCGGGCACCTGCGGGCTCCGAGATGTACTGCGCCTGCACCCACAGCTCCTCCACGTAGTCGCGGATCCGCCAGCTGAACGGGACGACGCAACAGCCCTCCCCCGGGCCGTGCGCGTGGCTCTGCACCAGGATGTGGGCCATGTCGCTGTTGGACCTGCAGTCAGCATGTGAGACGGCGCTGAGACGCCGACAGGAGCCACCCTGCAGCCAGCCTCTCCGCCCCAGGGGCTCAGGCTCTGGACACCCCCAAACACAGACCAGGGCAGAGAGGGGTCATGCGGGCCTGCCGGGACCTCGTGTGCCCCCTGTAGCTGGGCCGCGACTGGGAGAGGGTCCGTCTGGGGACCAATGGTGTCTGTCCCCTCCGTGTCTCCCCGAGGTCCTGAATCCCACTGCTCTGCTCTTTGTTAACCGTTCGCCCAGATCCAAGCCCCTAAAGTGCAAGTGGGAAGCTTTGGGGAGTCCCGAGCCTGAGCCGTGCAGGCGTGGGCCTGGGCGGGGCTGAGCGGCCCCACGTGCAAGGGGCACGGGGCACCCTCTGTGCAGACGCGCTGGCGACACCTGCCGTGACCAGTGGCGAAGGAGGCAGAGGTCTGAGTCACAGCTCCCGGAGCCTGTCGGCTGCAAGGAGCCCCCACCTGCGGCTCTGAAGTCAGCGCCTGTGCGACCCATGCGGGACAGACGCTCGGCCGCCACGCGCGGGCTCTCCCCCCACGGAAAGAAAGCCGCCGCTCACCTGGCGTCGTTGGTCACGAGAGGGATGTTCAGCAGGTTAATGTCACTGAAAATGAACATCCACAGCTCTCGGACCCAGGCCGGGGCGTCGGGCTTGGCCAGCAGCTCCAGGTTGCTGTCCCTGTCGATGACGGCCACCATGCTGGCCAGCAGAGGGGTCACCGCGCCCTGGACCCGCTTCCAGAGGGTGTGCCTGCAGCGGGCAGAGGGCGGCGTCCGGGTCAGAGGGACCGCGGCGGGAAGCGCACGGCCACAGGGTGAGTTTGTCCCCGTGGCTGCGTCCATTAGATCTGAGTCTTGCTGTACATGCCGGATTGTTTGTATAAAACAAGGTGAAGAGCTAACGCTCTCCGGAGAATTTCCCATACACTGAGATCCTGTTTCCCGGCAACTGCAAAAGTTTGGCTCAAACGCACAAAAATTCTTTACAGGTTTGAATGCTTTTTACGTTAACACGGCGGCGGGGCCACATGAACACGCGTGAGAAGTCATGTGAGGACGGAGGAGGGGCCACGTGAAGATTGAAGGGATGCGGCCAGGAGCCAAGGAGCCCCGGGAGCCCCCAGAAGCTGAAGAGGCAGGAGGGACTCTCCCTGGAGCCCTCCCAGGGAGCCCAGCCCCCGACACCCCGATTTCAGATTCTGGCCCCACAACGGGGAGAGCCCCTGTTCCTGCTGGGTTCGGCCGGTCTTAGTCATCGGAGCAGCAGCCCCAGGAAACGGCCCCTCCTTGCCCCTCCTTGTGGGGCTTAGAGCGGGTTACAGAACAGCTGCGCCCTGTGCCCCGCAGGAGGACCCCCAGACCTCTCACTGCGGGGCTCACAGGGAGCCCCATCCCTGTGTCTGTGCCTCGGCCCTGCCTCCCGCTCCCCGGGGGCTCCTGGGCAGTGAGTGCAGTGGGCACAGCAGGTGGCTGCTGGGAGGGAAGCGCAGCCACGTGGTGCAGGGACCCCCGTCGCCTGGCGGAGCCCCGGCGCAGGATGGTGCAGGCCTCCCCGGCCCCGCCCTCCCCTCCCGGCCCTTCCCCCAATGAGTCCAGCCTGGGCCTCCGCTTCCGGGGCGCCTGGGTTGACAAGCCGACAGCTGGGTCGTCGTGCCCATATTCCAGACGCCAAGACTGAGGCTCAGTGAGGGGGAGCCAAGGTCCCTCCCCCAGCCCAGCTCCAGGCGGCTCCCCTAGCAGCGCCTGGTTGCCATGGTGTCGGAGGAGGAGGAGGAGTAGGAGGAGGAAGAGGAGGAGGAGGAGGAGGAGATTCCTGAGAAGCAATCCCGAAACACACACCCATGGGCCCTCCTCCTCACTCCCTCTCCAGGTCACCGCCTCCTTTTGGGCAGGTGGGCGGGCCTCTTCCTGGCCAGGGGCCGGGAGCAAAGCAGGTCGAGAAGGCAGAGGGTCCAGGTAACGGCTCAGGGACCCCAGCCTCACCCCGCAGGTTTCCTGGGCCTGGGCTCCACGCCCCCCCAGTTCCCGACCAGGCGGGCTCTGTCCTGCCTCCCGCCTTTGCACATGCAGTTCCCTCCACCGGGAACGCCCTTCCTCCTCCTTCAGGGCCCAGCTCGGCTCTAAGTCCCCTGGGAACCTCCTGAGTCCCTCGGGGCGCCCCCTGCGCCCCCCGAGGTCACAGCATTTTCTGGGTGATGCTCTCCCGGGGCGGGAGGTCTTGGGGTGCGAGCTCTGCCTTTGTACCCCAGCCCCTGGCACAGACAGGTGCTCAGTAAGTCCGGAAGGAAGGGGGGAGAGGGGGAGGGAGGGAGGTGAGCAAGGAACACCTCTCAGGATTGGAGAGGATCTAGACCAGCAGTTCTCAACCTGTGGGTCGCGACCTCTTTGGCGGTCGAACGACCCTTCACAGGGGTCGCCTAAGACCATCCTGCATATCAGATATTTACATGACGATTCATAACAGTAGCAACATTATAGTTAGCAACAAAAATAATTTTATGGTTGGGTCACAACATGAGGAACTGTATTTAAAGGGCCAGACGGTTGAGAACCACTGCCCTAGACCATGAGCACCTGGCACGGAGCAAAGCCCACTCCCTCCGCCGCCTCCGCCTGAGCCTGGGCCCCGGCACCGCCCGCCTCCTCCGATTCGGACCGGCTCAGGGGCCGTCTCCACACCCGCAGGCCCGTGTCCGCTGCCCATTAGGACGCGAGGGCATGACCCCGGGAGGCAGAGGGACCTGACTTCCCAAGGAGCTGGGGGCTGGGGGAGGCCTCCGTCTGAAACCCAGATCCCGGACCCGGGGCTCGCCGGCCTGAGGGCTGGCCATGAGCGGGTCCCCACCGACTCTGCAAACAGGGAAGCTGAGCGGGGGCGGAGGGTGCTCGCCCAGGGCGCCCGGGAGGGGCCAGGGTCCCCTTGCCCCTGTGGCTCTGGGTCGGGAGAGATGGGGGTGGGCTGGTCCTGCGGTGGGAGGAGGCCCGGGGAGGGAGGGGGGCCTTGGGGAGCGTCCAGGGCTGACATGTACTAACGGTACAGAAGGGCTGCAGTATTTCCAGAACCGCGTGCTCGTGCCCGTGCAGCTGGGCCCACGAACGCATCTTTCACAGCACGAAGTCGGTCTATACCAGTGGTCGGCAAACCGCAGCTCGAGAGCCACATGCGGCTCTTTGGCTCCTTGAGTGTGGCTCTTCCACAAAATACCGACTTCTGCGCATGGGCCACGAAGTTTCAATCGCACTGTACATGCGCGCCCACACGTGCTATTTTGTGGAAGAGCCACACTCAAGGGACCCAAGAGCCGCATGTGGCTCGAGAGCCGCAGTTTGCCGACCACTATACACACAAACTGTCCTTGGGAAAATCATGACTTTGGCCTTTAATGCTCTGTTTCCTCTTTTCACCTTGAAGGGATATTTCAGGGGACGTATCTCTTGTCTAGAGGAAACATTTCTATGAACTCAGGGACTCCATCAACTTCTCTTTTTCTTTTGTGAAATTCAAATAAAATTAAATTTAAAATGGCATCCGAGACGTGACTGCTACGGTTTTATAAAGTACCCCTGGCCCTCGGCTCCTCGCCCGGGCAAGTGAGAGGCGCGGCTCTGACCTGCCCGCCACCTGCCCGCCTGTCACTCGCTTGCCTGCCACCCATCGGCGTGTGACCTGCCGGCCTGTGACCCGCCAGCCTGTGACCCACTGGTGACCTGCCGGCCTGTCGCCGCCGCCCGCTCGCAGCCCTGGGGCTTTGGTCAGTACCTGAAGGTGCCGGCCTCCTGCAGGGCGTCGGGGTTGGAGGCCTCCTGCACCACCCAGTCCTTCCTGCCGAACACGCAGCTCTCCTCCTGCCGCCGCAGCAGGTCGTGGAGGCGCACCTGGGCCGCCCGCGCGAAGGAGGCTGCAAGGCGGCAGAGGGACGCCATTGGCCTCATGCCGGGCCCCGCGGGCCCGCAGCCCCGGGAGGGCCTGCTCGGTGTGGGAGGGGCTCACCTTTGCACGCGTCACCGGCATCCTCGCCCAGGAGGCCGAGCAGGATCTCCACGCGCCGCACGTTGCGCTGGCCGTGCCCGCCCGGGTCCCGCAGCAGGGCCACCGCGCTCTGGATGCAGCTGCGCAGGAGGCTGCCGCAGTCCAGCGCCGGCCTCTGTGCGGACACAATGGAGCCGCTGTCAGCCACCGCGCCGGCGAGGCCAGCTGGTCCCGGGCCCAGGGGGTGCCTCTGGGCTATGGTCCCCGGCCCCAGCCCCTGCCCGGCTCCCCTCCGAAACCCTGCGAGGGGTCGCGTGTGCTCAGGCCTCGGCGGGAGACAAGGAAGAGCCACGTGGGACCCTGTCAGGGTGTCGTCGCAGGCACAGGGGGAGGGAAGAGCGCCGGGCCGACCTGCCGCAGCTCCCGGAGGCCCAGGGAGCGAGAGCTGCACTCACGTGGCCTCTCGGGGCCTCGGGACGGTCTGTCTCCATGCCCCCCGCGGCCGCGGTCCCAGGTTCGTCCGTGTCCACTTCCATCGCCTCCTCCTGCTCGCTCCTCGCCTCGCGTCCCACCTCAGCTGCTGCGGAAGCAACCCCGTCAGGCCACTGGCCGCCCAGCCCCGGCGCCATGCCCGCGAGCTGCGTCCCCGGCTCCCGGCAGCAGCAAGTCCCCGAGGGGAGGCCCAGGCACGCAGCTCAGCCTTGGGGCCACCCCGGGTTCTCCAGCGGGAGGCCTCTCTGGGTCCCACGCGCTGAGGCCGATGCCGGGACACAAAGTGCCACCGACCACGGGCGCTCACCGCTGCACCCTCCGCACCCACGGACCCACTGCCTCTCGGGGGAACTGCCTGCCACGGGGCCTCCCACGGCTCGCGTGCCCCAGCGCTCCGGACACGGCCGGCCGCCGTGCGCCCCAGGGCATCCCGGGACGTACACTGGGGGTCAAAACAGCTGGCTGATGGTCACGTCCTGCAGCTGTGTCACGTCGGCGACCATGGTCGTGGATCTCCGCAGGTCGTCGATGTGCACGGACCGCCACAGCCCTGCGGAGGCAAAAGCCACCCGTCTTCTGCGCGCCTCTGAGCCGGAAGCAGGGACAGGACCCATCCTGCAGCCGACACAGCCCTGAGGGAGCCACTCGTGTCCTGGAGTCTAAACCCCTGACTCAGCCCGGCCAGCGTGGCTCAGTGGTTGAGCGTCGACCCATGAACCTGGAGGTCATGGTTTGAGGCCCGGTGAGGGCACAGGCCTGGGTGGCGGGCTCTAGTGTGGGGCCTGCAGGAGGCAGCGATCCATGATTCTCTCTCATCACTGATGTTTATATTTCTCTCTCCCTCTCCCTCCCTCTCTGATATCAATAAAAACATATTTTTAAAATTAAATAAATAAAAATATAATAAAATTCCTCCCGACCCAGCTAGCATCTTCAGCTCCTCGACCAGACATCTGTGCCAGCCGGAGATGCCGCGTGGGAAGGCGGCCTGCGCAGTGCAGTCTGCGCGGCGAGCACGGCTGGGCCTCTCCGCTGCCTGTGACATTAAAGGTCTGTGCCCGGTTCTAGAATGCCCACTTTCTCAGCTAGAAAATGCTTGGGGAGTGAGGGAGGGAGCGAGAGAGGTGATTTAAGATAGCACCGCCCCCCCTCAAAAAAAGCAGGTATAAAGTATCAGTGTGTCCCTCACTGGTGCGTGGGGAATGCCTTCTCTGTGTTTCCCATATAAACACGCTGAGGCCCTGGCCGGTTGTTCAGTGGTTAGAGCATTGGACGAGGACCGTGGGGTTCGATTCCTGGTCAAGGGCACAGTCCGATCCCCGGCCCCGGGGTCCAGGCCAGGGTGGGAGGCACTAATCGATGTGTCTCTCTCACTGGATGTTTTTCTCTCTCTCCCTCTCTCCCTTCTACTCTCTCTAGAAGTTAATTGGAAAAACATATCCTTGGGTGAGGATCAACCAAAAATATAAAAATAAAAAACTAAACGGTGAGGAGCCCGGGACACCGATGCAGTTTATCTGCAAGTTAATAAAGGAAGTGCTATGTGCTGAGCAGCGAGTCCGTAGGTGGGTGTTCTTAGCAGGAATCAGCAGCAACAAATCCAATCACATCTGAAATGAATACTGTTGAGACCAACACTAACGTTCTAGTTCAGACCTGCACCCCGGAGGCCCCGCGAGAAAGAACTCCGTGGGCCTCACGTCACCGCAGTCACCGACACGGGTCCTACCTCCGTGGAACCCCACGTAGGATGCGTCACTTTCCATCCGGGACAGTTTCGTGATGAAATAGACAAAGACGCAGGCCTTATTTCCTTGTATCTTGTTGATTTCATTGATGGCAGAATACCTATTTTTTAAAACAAACAAAAAACCAAAAAAATTAAAAAACAAACAAATGCCACAGATCGACGTGAAAACAGAGCCAGTGCACAAAACTGAAGCTGGCGGTGGCGGGAGGGGCCAGGAGCTGCAGGTTCGAGCTCAGGGTCTCCCTTCTTTCAGTTTTTTTTTTTTTTAAATATTTGTATTGGTTTCAGAGAGGAAGGGAGAGGGAGAGGGAGAGAAACATCCATGATGAGAGGGAATCATGGATCGGCTGCCTCCTGCACACCCCACACTGGGGATCGAGCCTACAACCCGGGCGTGTGCCCTGACCGGGGATCGAACTTTGACCTCCGGGTTCATCGGTCGGTGCTCAGCCCCTGAGCCACGCCGGCCGGGAGGCCTTCTTTCAGTTTTAAATAAATGTGGGCCCTTGTGGTTATCCCTCTTCTGCGAGAGTGTAGCCCATTCTCTCTAAGAGGCGTATATTTCGCTCCCATCCCTGTGTCCCTCGGATTGAAGAGGCATTTCTTACAGATCAGAAACCCTCGCCTGGGCTCCGCGACGGCTTCCCTAACCCCTGAGGGCAAGGCCAGCGGGACTTTGCATTCCCAGAAGCAAGGTCCCAGGGACAGAGAGAGCCATGACACGAGGGACAGGGAACACGGTTCTGAAAGCCTCGCGTGTCCCCGACAAACACTATTAACCAATCCAAGAAATGCAGATGATCACTTACGTCCTGGTCCTGCCCTTGACCTTGCAACCAGTCAAATCGTATCGTTTAAAACTAATCATGACCAAACCAGGCCTGCAGAGCTGCCTCCAGACTCTCTCACATCCACTGCGGGCCTAGCACTGCCCCTCCCTGCGCGCCTCCTCGCTGGTGCTGCTCTCAGCCTGGCCTCTCTCGCTTCTCCTTCTTCCGCCTCTCTAGCCCGCACGGGGGAGATGGGAAGGGAGAGCCGGTTTTATCTTCATTTCTATGTGTACTATGACCCTGTACTGTCTTCAGGGAAGAAATCCTTGAGGCGCCAAGAAAAAAAGCACCGCAGCGTACTTAGCCGAGGCGATGAGCTGCGCGCTGCGGGCGCCGTCCTCGAAGTCCGTCTGGATGATGAGGATCTTCCGTGCGGCCGTGCTCGCCAAGCAGTTTCTGAAAACAAGAGGAATTACACACGTCATTTCTCCATCCCGAGCGGGTGAGAAAGCCCCCCTCCCCCCCGCGATGGGAACTGTAAGGGCTACTGTGAAACTATTCAGGTGGGATTCTCTTCCACAAGTGAGTGGGAACCCAGCGGGGAAAGAATAAACCCCAGGAAACGCTGCCTGAGGAGACCGAGGACCAGGATTCAGAGCAGGACGCCCGCCCAGAAGACAACAGCGGGGACAGGGACCCTGGAGGGTTCAACAAGTGTCCTTTCCCGAGTCCCGGGTCCTCACGGTCGTTACCCAACACTGGTGACAGCACCGTGGTCACTCCAGCCACACAAACGACATAGGACGTGGCCAGGGCTGAGGACGGAACCCGGAGGAGGGAAGGCGGGGGCCTCACCGAACTTCTTTGAGGAACGAGTGCTCGGTGTCAAACTGCTGCAGCGACAGGATGGTGGGGTTCAGGGCCCTGCCGTTCACTTCCGACCCCAGCATCTCGCCGTCGTGGCTGGTGAGCAGCCTGGAGAAAGTGGTGACCTGCAGAGTCAGGGAACAGACTATTTGCACGTCTCCGGGGGTCAGATCCCGGAAACGCGGGGATGGTCAGCCAGTGCCTGCTACGGGCCAGACAGACAGAACCCACACGCAGGGTTTTTAAAACGAGGCTGTGCTGAGCGGAACAGAGCCCAGGACCAGAGGCAGTGGAGGGAAGACACCCTGCCCCGAAGACGGAGTCTCCTTCCCAGACTCGGGCGTCTCTCCTGCTTTGGTCCCTCCTGGAAAGTCTAACTGTCCCTTAGGGCTCAACACAAGTGGCGTTTCCTCCCTGGCGCCCTTGCTTCCCACTGTCAGATGGCGTTCGCCGCCGCCACCGGGTCACACCGCGCAGTGCAAGCAGGCACTCCTGATGGGCGTGCTCACCGGGCAGCTGCCGAACCCCCGCCCCAGGCTGGCCTTCCCACTGAGCTTCCGATTCCGACATCCAACGGCATGATAGTCACATCCTCCGGGGTTGACAGGGGCACCAAGTGGAATTTACCACCCCCCCCCATCCCTCCCCCCAAAACTCGCTGCTCGTTCCAGGATCCTCTGTTGTGATGGCTGGACCTCCGGCCACCCAAGGAACAGCTCCGGACTCATCCCCAGACTCCTCCATCTCCGCGGCCCTGATACGGGCCCAGCGTTCACTCTGCCAGTGATTCCTCACTCCTCCTCTCCACCCGCCTCATTTCCTTGGAAGGCTCGCAGCAGCCTCCACGCTGCTGTGCCTGTTCCATGAGTCTCATCACCCCTCCCTGCATCTCAGCACCTCTCCACCCCTCCCTCCACAGGGAAGACCGAGCTCTCAGGAGCCTCTCCGGGTCGCCCACCCCGCCTCGCGGCACTCCCGGCTTTGCGCACGAGGCTCCGTCATGGCCCCTCCTGGCCTCCTGCACGGGCTCTGCTGTCTCTCACCCTGACACCTCCGACTGATACCTTCCCAACCGCACTTCCCAGTCCCTGTGGGGCCCGCTCTTAAAGATCCTCCCTGGCCCGGCCGGCCGGGTGCTCAGTGGTTGAGCGCTGACCTAGGAACCAGGAGGTCACGGTTCCATTCCCGGTCAGGGCACGGGCCCAGGTTGCAGGCTCGATCCCCAGTGTGGGGCGTGCAGGAGGCAGCCGATCAATGATTGTCTCTCATCATTGATGTTTCTCTCTCCCTCTCCCTCTCCCTTCTTCTCTGAGATCAATAAACATTTTCTTTTTAAAAGTCTCAACCTATCCCTTTCTGATTCCTAGACCCGGACTGGAATCTACTGGAGAAGAACCTGCCTTTTTGACTCCAGGGACCAAGGACTCTGAGGTGGAAGGTGGTGAGGGTGACAGCGTGGGGAGATACTCACCTCCGTGAAGACAGGGCGGTGCTCCGGGCCCGGCCCGTGGAGGTGAGCCTGCAGGAAGTCGGCGAAGGAGTCGTGCTGCTGCCTGGAATAGTATTCTCGCGACAGGGCCTGCGCGGCACACTGGCCTAGCGCGGACGCACTGAGTCGGACGATGGCGTCGGGCGTGGCGCAGTCCAGCAGCACCAGCTTGGCGTCCTCCAGGACCTTCTGGTAACACTTGTGGCTCAGGGCCCCGGGCCCGAGCCGCTCGATGACCTGGAGCACCACCGAGGCACAGGTGTCCGCGTGGTAGCCGACGAAGACGTCCGAGGGGCTGTAGCGGGCCTGGCCCTGCGCCACCTTGACGGTGACGAACTGGTCCACCCAGGCCTTGAGCTCCTGCACGAGGTCCCGCTGCCACTTCTCCAGGACCGTGTTGAGGTCCAGGTAGTGCTTCTCCAGTCGGTTGATGAGGGGGATGGGGAATTGCTGGCAGACGACGTCCTTCTCCTCGATGACGATGAGGCGGAAGTCGGGGTGCACCCGGCACTTGACCCGGTGGGTCCCCAGGCCCAGGTCCACGTACTTCTGGCCCCCGAGGTAGACGTAGTACTGGTTGAGGGCGTCGTAGAGGCTCTCGTAGAGGTTCTGCAGGTTGAGCAGCACCACCATCTTGCCCGTCTCCATGCAGATCTTCACGCGGTTGATGTTCCTGCAGATCTGCGCGTACTCCTGGTCCCGCGAGAAGCTGGACCCGAAGATGATCTCGGGCTGCTGGTCCTCGGCGAAGAGCGTCCGCTGCAGGATCTGCAGGGCCACGTAGTTCCTGGTCAGCACCAGCAGGTAGCGGGACTCGGGGTCTCCCGGCCCCGCGCCCGGCGCCCCCCGGAGGTCGCTGTACAGGTTCTGCCGGATCAGCTGCAGGGTGCTGGCCTCCTCGGGGAGCTTCGCCTCGGGTAAGTGGGTGGCGAAGATGTCCAGGGCCTGGATCTCGTCTTTGCCACTGAAGTTCCGGAGAACGGCCTGCGCGATGTCGCACGGGGAGAGCCTCCTGTTGGAGGCCTGGGCGGCGGCGAAGACCATTTTGATGAGGCTGTAGTAGTCTCGGAGCCCGAAGAACTCCTTGTCCTGCTTCGCGCACACCGCCTCGTAGGCGCTGGCCAAGGGCCGGAAGTACGCTTGGATTCTCTCTTGCACGAGGGGCTCGGACGCGCAGATCCCCCGGGCGCTCTCGATGAGCTCCCTCTGGCTGGGGCTGCCGCGGGACACGAAAATGCCCCGGTTCATCTTGGCGGGGTCCAGGGCCCAGTTGGAGATGCCGATGAAGCCCACCTTCTTGTGGGGGGCGGGGTCGTCTTCGATGCACCCGTCTTCCAGCAGCGGGTGCAGGGCCTTGAGGGGCATCTGGGGCGAGTCCTCGGCCAGACCCACCTCGTCCAGCACCACCACGGAGACGTACTGCTCCAGGTCCCGGCCCTGCTGCAGGCGGGCGCAGTGCTTGAAGGTGCCCACGATGCCCTGCGGGGTGGAGTGCGGGCTGCACTGGAACGACACCAGGTAGACCTGCTTCAGGCTCCGGAAGAGCTCCGAGGGGGCGGCCGGGCCTTGCATGGCGTCCGCCACGATGGTCTTGGCGAGAGATTTGGAGCTGCCGGGCTTGCCCACCAGGAAGAGCGGGATCTTCAGCTCGATGCAGATGGCCATCATGAAGACGTTCTCCTTCAAGGCCAGGTTCTTGGCGACGGTTTTCCTCAGAGACACGCCCTCCAGGAAGAGGTCCTGCGTCCGCGTGATGGCGTCCAGCACGGCCTTGCTGCTGTCGTATGGCGGCGGGAGGAGCGCACAGATGGCTCTGCGGTAGGCGTCCTGCTTCTCCAGGGAGGCGTGGTAGCACACCCCGGCGGCCAGCACCAGCGCCCAGAGCACCGGGCCTCTCTCGTCGGAGTCAGCGTCAGAATCGGCGTCGGAGTCATCGGGGCTGTCACCGCTGGGCCCGCCGTGGGAGGCCGGCAGCTTGGACAGGAGCATCGCGCTGTGGTCGTAGAACCAGCGGAAGACCCGCACGCAGCGCTCCACGTCCCGCAGGCTGACGAAGCTGCACTCGTTCTCCCGTCTCCGCATGAAGCACTGGGAGGCGTAGAGCACGTCGGCGATGACGCGCGTGTCGCCGGGGCCGATGGGGGTGTCGCCCACCAGCCTCCGCACGATCTGCTGGATGTACGTCCTCTCCGTGGCGTTGTTGAGCTGCCCGAAGTCCCACACCAGGGGCACCAGGCTGGGCGGCAGCGCGTGCACGCGGTACACCAGCTGCCGCAGCGGGATGGAGCCCAGCCGGTCCGCCGTGTCCTCCGCGCGCACCCGGTAGCCCAGCCCGGCCGCCTCCAGGCGGGCGATCATCTCCGGGGAGTGCTTCCGGTAGGGGTTGCAGGCCGCGATGACGTGCAGGCCCGAGTCCTCGGCCAGCGGCTGGCCGCCCACCGTGCGGTCGCACAGCACCTCCTTGATGCAGCTGATGGCGCCCGTGGTGTTGGCCTCGTCGAAGAACAGGACGGTGTCCAGCCCGTGTTCGCTGCTGTTGAGCTGGGCGAGGGCCTCCGCCGCCAGGACTTTGCCGTAGATCATGTCGGCGCTCGTGCCGCCGTGGACCTTGACCAGCTGCAGGGTCTCGGCGTCGGCGCCCCCGCGCCGCAGCTCGCTGAGGAAGCGGATGAGCCGGGTCTTCCCGCAGCCCGTCTCCCCCATGACGATGACGGGGATCCCGCAGCGGAAGCGCATCTCCACGGCCAGGATCTTCAGCATGTTGTCCGTCGTGAGCTCGTAGGTTTCGTCGGGGTCCACGGGCCACTGGACGCCCAGCGCCAGGCAGAGCCGCTCCAGTTTCTCGTGCCGGGGCAGCGCGTCGAAGTCCACGTTGAAGGGCACGCCCTGCAGCAGCAGCCCCTGGTACAGCTCCTTCGTCAGCACGTCCCTCTTGATCACCCTCTTGTTCGCGGGGTCCACGGCGTCGAAGGTGCCCTTCTCAGTGGGGACCAGGTGGAAGCCGATGAAGGTCATGGAGACGCGGTCCCCGTTGAAGAACAGGTACGGGTGGGGCTCCGACTCCCACCGCCGGCGGAGAGAGAACGGAGCGATGTCCTCCTCGGTGACCCCGTCCATGGCGACCGCGTGCGTCCCGGGGCTCTGGTCCGACATGCGCAGCGTCGGGGTGGCGAAGTCTCTCGCCATGCAGATCATGAAGGTCACCACGAAGTTCTTGAAGCCCTGCAGCGTGTCCCCGACCGCCACGGGGTCGCAGAAGATGGAGGCCTCGCAGTCCCTGAGCTGGCAGTTCAGGAAGCGGGCGAAGTTGCGCAGCTCCGCCCAGGACGGGTCGAGCACCCCGCAGTACAAGAGCAGGTGCTGCAGGCACTCCTGGGGGGTGCCCTCCACCCGGCCCTTCTGGTACTGGAACGTGTCCAGGTTCTGATTCTGATGGAACCGCTTCAGATACTGGAAAGGTCTTTGGAAGGTTTCGCTGCAGAACTCGGCGGGGTCCATGCCCGGCTCCCTGCAGTGCTGCTCGGGGCTCAGCTCCATTTCCATCACTTCTTTGGGGGGCCGGCAGGTGACCTTGGGGAAGACGTCCAGCAGACTAAACTGGGGGGCGCGTGTCCTCTGGGAAGGAGAAGGTGAACAAAAGGATTACGAACTAGATTTCCCAAACATGCTTTTGCCTGGCAGGCGTGGCTCAGGGGATGAGCTTTGACCAATGAACCAGGAGGTCCCAGTTCGATTCCTGGTCAGGGCACAGGCCCGGGTTGTGGGCTCCATCCCCAGTGTGTGGCACGCAGGAGGCAGCCGATCCATGATTCTCATCATTGATGTTTCTCTCTCTCTTTTCCTCTCTGAAATCCATTAAAAAATATGTTTTTAAAAAACACAAAGACAAAATCACCATGCTTTTGGTGTGTGAGGCTTCCGCGTGGTCTGTACCGGACAGGCCTTCGTGAGAAACCACGTTTCAGGAAGCGATGTCTGCAGACGCCCCGGCACAGGTGGCTGCCCCGCACCCCCAGGCTCTGTGGGAGCTGCCGTCCCTCCCGGAGGCGGTTTCACCCGAGCTCCCGAGACCAAAGCTCTCCGTTACTCGCGAGTGTGTGAGCATCGAACTCCCTTTTGCTAAGAAACTGATATGACGGCCCTGGCCACTGTGGCTCAGGGGGTGGAATGTCATCCCGTGCACGGAAAGGTTGCAGGTTCGATTCCCGCTCAGGACACGTAGCCAAGTTGCGGGTTTGACCGCGGTTGGGGTGTGTGTGGGAGGCAACCCATCCATGTATCTCTCTCACATCGATGTTTTTCTCTCTCTCTCTTCCTCTCTCTCTCAAATCAACAAAAATGCCCAACTGGCGTGGCGCAGGGGTTGAGCACCAACCTATGAACCAAGAGGTCAAGGTTCGATTCCCAGTCAGGGCACAGGCCCGGGTTGCGGGCTCCATCCCCAGTCGGGGGCGTGCAGGAGGCAGCTGATCAATATTTTCTCTCATCATTGACGTTTCTATCCCTCTCTCCCTCTTCCTTCCTCTCTGAAATCAATAAAAAAATTTTTTTTAAAAAATAAAAATAAGATAAAAACATATCCTCAGGTGAGGATATAAAAAAACTTCCTTTCCAGGCATTTAAAACAAAGTAAGTTTAAAGGCGGATTTTTCTTGTCTAACCCTGCACTCCGCTGCCTCGCTAAGGCAGAGGTGGGGGATGGCGAGCATGTCGGAAGGAACGCTTCCCCCGCCCCCCCCCCCCCCCCCCCACGGGAAAGCCCCGGTGCGCACCAGCTTGGAAGGCCTCGTAGGCAGCGCCGAGTGCCCTTCCAGGATTTCGATGACGTACAAGTGGCTCGGGCTCCGGAGCCACATTTTCCCGTTTGAGTCCATTAAGTGCTGCAGCACCAGGAGCTTGAAGAGAAACGCCCAGACCCCAGCCTGCACCTGGAGAGAGAAACACACGCGCTGTCAGTATCTACCTGGAAGCCCTGGCTGGTTGGCTCAGTGGATAGAGCGTCAGCCTGCAGAGGGGTTCCAGGTTCAATTCCAGTTGGGGGCACACGCCCGGGTTGTGGGCTCGATCCCCAGTGGGGGATGTGCAGGAGGCAGCCAGTCAATGATTCTCTCTTATCATTGATGTTTCTCTCTCTCTATCTCTCCCTTCCTCTCTGAAATCAATAAAAATATATTAAATATATATTTACCCAAAAGACCAGCCCCTGCCCTGAGGACCTTCTTAGTCTGTTCTTGGACACGATGGGACTGAATAGCAAATGGTGCTAAAGAAATTCTTTCTTTCTTTCTTTTTTTTAATATGTGGGTTTTTTTATTTTAGAGAGAGGAAAGGAGGGGGAGAGAGAGAGATAGAAACATCAATGATGAGGGAGAATCATGAATCGGCTGCCTCCTGCACGGCCCCCACTGGGATGGAGCCCACAACCTGGGCGTGTGCCTGACTGGGAATCGAACCCTGACCTCCTGGTTCATAGGTGGACGCTCAAACCCTGAGCCACACCGGCCGGGCGATAAAGAAATTTTTTATGATGGGAAGGAGGCAGGACGGGGCCGAGGAGCCACCATGTCTTTCCCGCCGTGGCCACTGGCGGCACCCAGGCCCTCACCGAGGAGGTCACATCCAGGTGGAACATCGCGGGGCTCGTCTGACACTTGGGGTCCAGGAAGGGCAGCAGGGAGCCCAGGACCTGGCTCTCATCCACCTGCGGGTCCATCAAGCGAATGACTTTGAGAGGCACTTCCTCCCTAGGAAACTTCCTTTGCAGAGTTTCGTGCAATCGCTTCACGTAGAGAGACTTTCCTGTAACAAATATTAACACGTGGAAATCAGGTGCCTGGGCTGCGGGCCAAGGAACAGAGGGTCCAGAGAGATTTAGTACAAGCCCCTGCTTGCGTGCACAGCTCAAACCGATGCCACGTGACCTGGGGCGAAGGAGCCCTCGGTTTCCTCGCTGCTTCCTGCCCACGCCCCCCGTTTCCCGGGACCAGTGGCGCCAGGTGAGCGTGCCCTGCGTGCGGAGGGGACGAGCGGGACCTGGACTGGGATCAAGTCACTGGAGCGGAAACGGGGCGGGGACTGAAGGGAGGATAAGAGGCACCTGCGCCCTCTCCAGACAGATCTTATCTCCCCCTGCTCACCCACATCAACCCCGAAGCGGCCAACGCAGGGTAAACACAAAACCAACAGGAGCCCTGCCGGTGTGGCTCAGTGGATAGGGCGTCAGCCTGAGGACTGAAGAGTCCCGTGTTGTGGGCTTGATCCCCAGCAGGGGGCGTGCAGGAGGCACCCAACCAGTGATTCTCTCTCAACAGTGATGTTTCTATCTCTCTCTCCCTCTCCCTTCCTCTCTGAAACCAATAAAAATAGATTTTTTAAAAATAATAATAATAAAAACAAAACAAACAGGAGCCCTGCTGGTGTGGCTCAGCGGTTGGAGAACAGACCTGTGCACCGAAGGGTCTCAGGTTCGATTCCCAATCAAGGGCTTGTACCTGGGTTGCAGGTTTGATTCCCGGCCCTGGTCAGGGCATGCGGGAGGCAACCAATCCATGTGTCTCTCTCACATCGATGTTCCTCTCTCTCGATCTCCCTCCTTTCCACTCTCTCTAAAAAGTCACTGGAAAACAAGCAAACAGGAGAAGGCTGTCTAGAGAAGGAAGGTGGTTGGCTCCCAGGAACCATGAGTGTCCCCTCCGGTTCGGCTCTAGTTGGAAACTTCACGTCCCTGAGACTCAGTTTCCCTTCTTATGGGAGGGCTTCGTCAGCGTCCCCTCCACCCCGGGGGACAGGGGAGAGCCGTCCCCCCAGGTGCTGTCATTACCGACACCCGCTCTCGCGGAGGCCACGATCCCCACACACATCCGGTCCCTGAAGGCGGCGGCAGCCGACGGGGTCCCCCGGGGGACCTGGTAGTGATGCGCCAGGTAGGCCCGGGCGGCCTCAGGGGGTGCCTGGGGGGTGGCGGGGACCCTGTGCTGGCTGAAGGCCGAGGGCAGGTAGCAGTGCTCCCGCTCGCTGTCGCAGACCAGGACGAGCTGGAAGTCCTCCCGGTGCGGCCGGGTGCGCAGGGTCTGGAGCAGCTCCTCCGCCCGGCGGGCCACCTCGTAGCCCAGCTGGTCGGCGAACAGCAGGCTGTACACGCCGCGGCCGGGGGCGCCCGGGCTCAGGCAGCGGCGCAGCAGCAGCGCCACCTCCTCGAACGCGGTGCCCGGCGTGCACAGCAGCACCTCGTCGTAGGTGGGCAGCGGCTGCTCCGGGCTCTGCATGTAGACGGCCAGGGCGGCCGGCAGCACGTCTGAGTGGCCGCAGACGATGAGGTTGGGCTGGCCGGCCCGCAGGCCTTTGGGGAGCCTCCGCATCACGGGGGGCCCGCCCCTGGCTGCCAGGCGTGCCAGGCCACGGCCCAGGGCCTCGAGGTCCAGGCAGTGGGGCAGGAAGGCACGCGTGCACCCCAGGAACTGCTCCATGATGACCCCCAGCTTGTCCACCAGGCCGGACTCGCTGAGGAGCAGGATGGGCAATGTCTCCATCACTGTCTGCAGCTCGTGTGTGGCGGCCCCACCGTCGCCATGGGGGTCCCTGAAGGCTTCCGCGACGTCCCGCGGGGTGCACTGGCGTTTGATGAAGGACAGCATGGCCAGGGCGGTGGCCCCGGGCGTCGGCCGCGCCAGCTCCGAGCTCAGGTGCACCAGCTGCTCGGCCGTGTAGTAGTTGAGGTAAAAGTGCTCCGCTCGCTGCTGCGCCACGACCGCCTCCCACTGGTCCAAGAAGCGCTCCATCCGCCGGCACAGCAGCTCCAGCAGCGGGGCCAGGGGCGCACACCCTCGCAGCGGCTTCAGCAGCGGCAGCGCGAAGTGCATGCGCACGGGCTCGGGCTGGCCGCAGTGCACCTGCACCTTCCAGGCCCGGAACAGGAAGCTCCCGGCCGAGTACAGGTTCAGGAAGGCCCGCACCAGCCTCTGCACGTTGCAGAACACCTGTCGCCAAGGGAAGCAGGAGGCGGGCCTCACCGGCTGCACCCAGACAGAGGCGGCGGCAGACCCTGAGCAGAGGGCTGGGTCCGAGCCCACAGCCTGCCTTCCTCCCTCACAGAACCTCTTCCTCAGGCGATCGTGCAAAAAGTGCAAATGGCTCAGGGGTTGAGCATCAACCTAGTAACCAGGAGGTCCCGGTTCCACTCCTGGTCAGGGCACAGGCCCGGGGTTGTGGGCTTGATCTCCAGTGTGGGGCGTGCAGGAGGCAGCCGATCAGTGATTCCCTCTCATCATTGATGTTTCTATTTCTCACTCCCTCTCCCTTCCTCTCTAAAATAGAAAAAAAATATTAAAAAGCAAAACAAACAAACAAAAGGGCCTGTCACACCTGAGACGCCCCTCCGGGCCCTGAGTTTAGGTGACATGCACCCTGTAGACCCCTGGATTTCAGAGCAGAGCAATTCCTAGTGATCAAACCCAAACCCAAACCCAAACCCTTCCGACTGTCCTGAGGACACTCAGCAGGGAGTCCCCCAGCCCCGACTGAGGAGCCGGACCCCAGGGCTGGCCGGAAGCAGACCCACCTCGGAGAACTCCTCCACGTCAGCACTGTTGTGGTCTTTCTTGCCCGACATGAGCATCAGCTTGTTCATCAGCTCCTTCAGCTCCTCCAGGGAGTAACTGCGCAGCTCCCGGCGGCCCTTGTGGCTCTCGGGGAGGAGTAAGCGTAGAACCGTGTCTGGGGAGATCTGTGGGACAGGACGCGTTGGGGGGCGGTTTTCCGGAGGGAGAAACCCACCCCCACTGAAGGCAGCTGGGCTAGCCCTGTCTGGGGTCTGGGTGGTCAGGGGAAGTGGGCGTGTTCAGGAAGTAGGCGTGCCCAGCGTGTGGGTGTGTCCATGATGTGGGCATGGTCAGAATGTGGGCATGTCCGGTGATTGGGTGTCCAGGGGTGGGCGTGGCCATGGTGTGGGCGTGGCCATGGTGTGGGCGTGGCCATGGTGTGGGCGTGTCCGGGAGTGGACATGCCCAGTGGGCATGTCTGTGGTGTGGGCGTGCCAGGGAGTGGGCATGTCTGTGGTGTGGGTGAGCCAGGGAGTGGGCGCTCACCTGCTGGCCCTCGGCGGGCGCCTGGATCACATAGGTGCCCCTGCTGTTGATGGCTCTGGCCAGTGTCAGCGACGAGCGCTCCACTGAGCCGTGGCTCTCCTTCACCGTCTTCAGCCACCCCAGGTTCCGGGCGGAGTCCCGCTGTGGGACGGGCGAGAAAGCAGCCATGGACTGCGTTCTTTCCCTTCTCAGGGCGCGGTCACCCCACCCAGGCGTGGGGGCGCTTCCTGGTGCGCAGCTCTGGCTGCCTCTCTCGGGGCACCTATTACGTGGGGTCACTGTCTCCCTGTGGCCCCACCTGTGCAGACGGGCCCCTGGGCCAGGTGGACAAAGACATTGTCCTGCTGGACCCCCAGCTTGGGGGTGGGGTGCCAGCTCTAACAGGGCTGGGATGCTTCCATTCTAAACATCCTTGGGGTCCCCACGTCCAGCCAGAAGCATCGAGGGGAAACGACCTCAGAGGCCTTTTGTTCAGATGTGAGCCTCCAGCAGAGAAGGAACCTCCCCTCCATCTGCTCACTCCATTGCTCCCCCAGGGGGATGCAGCCGTCCCGGCCGCGGCCACAGGTCTGCTCAGGAGGCCAGTTACGGAGAGGGGTCTCCTTGGACCCGGTGGGGACCTCTTTTCTGCCCAGGGCCATGTGGATATTATAACATCATTCGCATAATATAATTCACTTAATATCAATTTATGTTGCTATGAAAAAACTCCTAGATTTACTGAATTTTGAGTCCCTCCTGGGGTTGCCTAATAGAAATCCCTTGTATTTCCAAGCAGTTTTGTATCCGACTTTGTAACACAGGCGGTAGAGAAAGCGTTTCCATATGTGAACAGACGCTTTGCGAGCATCGTCTTCAACACGTGGTGCGCGATGGTGTGCACGGCCGAGGCCCGAGTCCTACGGAGCCACGTGCTGGGAACGAGACTCACCAGCTTACTGGGCAGGTGCGGGTCGTTGTCCAGCGCCTTCCACAGCTCCTTCAGGTGTTCCGCGAACGCCTGGAAGCCTTGGCTCGCGTCCAGCTTGTAGAGCAGAGAGCTGTAGCCCTGGACGGCGTCGTGGAAGCAGGCCACGCGGTCCACGTCCATGTCATTCTCCCCCGCGAAGATGAACGCCAGGTCCACAAACACCTTCAGCTCGTTGACCCCTTGGGGCGAGAGGGGACAGGTGAGCTGGGGCCATGCCGCGGTGACACGAGGCTCCCACCGTGGACAACAGTCTTGCGAGGAGCTACGCATAGACATCCGGGGAGGGGTTTCAGGGGTCGACCCGCTGTCTGCTTTCCGCCAGAGTCCAGGCACCTCTCCACCTGCTCCTGACTGGATGCCACAGACCAGCCTGACCTCAGTACCCGTGGGGCCCGGCGCCGCCTGAGGCTGCATGTGCCTGACTCCATCTGATCCACGCCCCGTCACCACCTTTTTTTTAAAATTATTTAATTCTTGCCTGAGGATATGCTTTTTAAAATTTATTTTACAGAGGAAGGGAGAAACATCAATCGGTTGCCTCCCACATGTGCCCCAAAAGGGGCTCGAACTCGCAACCTCGGTGTGCGCCCTGACCAGGAATCGGACCTGCAGCCTTTTGGTGCACGGAACGATGCTCCAACAAATTGAGCCGCACCAGCCAGGGCAGGGCAAGGTTTTTAAGAAAATGATCCCCCTCGCCCAGCTGGTGTGGCTCAGGGGTTGAATGTCAACCTATGAACCAGGTGGTCACGGGTTCAATTCCCGGTCAGGACACATGTCCGGGTTGCGGGCTTGATCCCCAGTGTGGGGTGTGCAGGAAGCAGTCGATCCATGATTCTCTCTCATCATTGATGTTTCTCTGTCTCTCTCTCCCTTCCTCTCTGAAATCAATAAAATTATATATAAAAAAGGAAGAAAGTGACCCCCAGCTGTCCACAGCAAACATACAGCGTGGGGAGGACACAGCTTTTGCACCAGAGCATGAGAAATATCTGATATAAACTCTACCAGCAACCACCCACAGCACCACAGCACACGCCCTAAAGGATGCAGGCAGCACCCCTGTCCTTTCCCCAGCCCGTCAGCTTGGGACGGTCACCCCAGTGCCATCGGGACACCCAGGCTCCTGCAAACCCCAGTCCCAACCGTACCTTCGACAGCCTCGCGGACCCAGGGGACGAACTCCCTGGCCAGGGCCAGCTCCTGCAGACACCGGCACCGGGCCTCGTCCAGGTCCCGCAGCAGCTTGATGGCAAGGATGACCTGCCTGTTGATCTGGCCCAGTTTTTCACCACGAGAGTTCTCGAAGGCGTCGGTCTGGAAGACAAGGCTCTGCTGGGGGCTGGACGGAGCCGCTCACCTGGAGCCCCGAGTCTGAGCAGGACCTGAACCTCCCGGGTTTGCGGCTGCTCCGATGCGGATGGGCACGGGGGTCTCATCCCAGAGCAGAGAGAGAGAGAGGAGGTTCTAAATCCTGTGCTGGATCTCCCTCCTCCTCACACCTGCCCACCCAGCTGTGCAGGTCCCACTCTGCCTCCTAAACGCTCGTCCTCAAAGAGCAGAAACCGAAGACCCACTTCCCAGGGCGCTCAGACCCACTGCCCCCACCGCTCGGAGCCCGGCCTCAGCTCTGCACAGACACGGCCGGCGAGAGGGCCGCGCAGCCCGGTCCCGCACCCTTGACCCCCACGCAGGCTGTCACACTACCAGCAGAGGGTAAGGCGGGCCCTGCACACTCAGCACCAGGTGAAATGCAAACCGCACACTCCCATCCCGGCTTTCAACGCCAGAGCCCAGGGCTGCCGGCGCCGGAGCTGGGCCCCACCCGCGCCCAGGGGTCCCTGGCCAGTAACTCACGATTCTTAGTACAAAGTCGAGAAGACTGAAGTCCCCGGTCAGGCCCAAGGCCTCTTTGACCTCCAAGATGACCTTGGCCGCCCTGGCAGACCGATGCAGGTGATGGTACTCCCTGACCTGCCCCACTCGCTCCTGGATCCAACCCCCCGGGTCGCTGGGGTCCAGGACCCGCATGACGCGGAGGTCGGAGGCGAGGTCCTCGTATTTATCCACGAAGTCGCTGAAGATGGCGTGCACTTCCCCGAAGGTGAGCTCGCCGGCCTTCAGGTCCGCGTACAGCTTCCCGAACTTGGCGAGGCAGGGAAGGTACAGGGCGGCATAGGCATCCTCCATGTCCAGGAGCGGCCCCGGCCCCGCCGCCTCCTCCTCCTCCTCCTCCTCTTCCTGCGTGCCCTCCGCCCGAGCGGCCTCTGCCCAGAAGGTCCGGAAGACGTGGCTGTCCTTGAGCGAGTCCATCATCGCGGCCATTTTTCGGACGGGGGCGCTCAGGTTGTAGTGCGTCACCCTCTCCATGGCGCCGGAGGTGGGGGACAGCCGCGCCATCACCGCCTCGTTCAGGCGCTTCCCGCCCAGGTCCTCCGCGTGTCTCTTGGCGATCTCTCCGCAGTCCACTGCGAACCAAGGAGGACGTCACACGGGAACCCCGCCCGGACTCCCCATCCCCCTCCCCCTCGCTGCTCTTCTTCGGTTTTTAAAAATATATATTTTTATTGATTTTGGAGAGGAAGGGAGAGGGAGAGGGAAACATCAATGATAAGAGGATCATGCATCAGCTGCCTCCTGCACACTCTCGCCCCCCCCTTCCACCCCCCTCCCCCCGCACTGGGGATGGAGCCCACAACCTGGGCGTGTGCCCTTGACCAGAATCGACCCCTGACCTCTCAGCCCTGAGCCGCCGGCCGGGCCTCACCGCTCTTGAGGAAACTCCAGGGAACACACTCGCTGGCTTTTTTTTCTCAATAAGAATCCAGACACCCCCCCCTCTTGCGCATCAGTTTTCACACAAATAAAACCTTGCTGTCAGTTCTGGGTGAAGAGGACGGTTTGAAGAAAGGCCCCCCTGTGCCCACCCCACTTCGACGCCAGAACAGTCACACAGGACAGGGCGGGGGGAGCAGAGAAGGCACTGTGGGATGTGACAGCGGATGGGCCCGTGGGAAGCGGGGCCCGAGGCCTGGAACGGGGGGGTGCTGGGAGCCCGCAGATTCCTGCTCGGGGAGCTGGACTGTGGGGGCGCTGACGAGGCCAGGAGGGGACAGGCTGCTTTTCACCCCACCCCTCGCTACGGCCGCCCTGCTCTCCCTCCTGCTCTCCCTCGTCGGCCTAGTAGCAGCAGGAGGTCATATTCCTGCCAGGACACAGCGGGTTGGGGACCCGGAGGTCTCAGGTCCGTGAGGAATCACGGCATTTCCAGACACACCTGGCACTGAACTTCAGGAGTCAGAAAGAGGGGACAGAAGACGGGGGGTGGGCGGGAGGCGCGGTGAGGGTGGGAGCAGGAGGTCATGGTTCGATTCCCGGTCAGGGCACATGCCTGGGTTGCGGGCTCCATCCCCAGTGGGGGGCGTGCAGGAGGCAGCCGATCAGTGATTCTCTCTCACCATTGATGTTTCTCTCTCACTCCCCCTCTCCCACTCTGAGATCAATACAAATATATTAAAAAGAGGGAGAGAGAGAGAGAGAGGCCTGAGGTAAATACCAAAGACAACAAGGCGCCAGGTTCAACTTTGCTTAAAATGAAGGCTTTACGGAAGCCGCCCTCGGAGAGCAAGCCCGCGGGCACCTTCCCATCAGGCCCTCCCCGACCCGCCACCTGGTGGGTAAAGGTCGATGCCAGTCACCTTCCACCCAGCGCTTGGCCGCCTCGCACAGCTTCAGCAGGCTGTCCACCCGGCGCCGCTCCTCCTGCAGGAACTGCAGCTCCTCCCACCTGTAGTCCAGCACTTTCTCCATATCGTGTTTTCTCTCCTGCGGCGAAAGACTTTTTCTCTCTGGCATTAAAAAAAAAAAAAGTTACCCAATAGAACAAACAAACCGATCCTTCTCCATGGAGACCGTTTCCTCCTCTTCTGGGATGCGATGCCCGCTCAGGGCGCGAGCCCAGCCCCTCCATCGGCGCCCGCGCTCAGTGTGGGACGGGCCGGTGAGCACTGGGGCTCGGTCACAGTTTGACCACTTTCCTGCTCTATCTTCCCGAGGACTGGACACCACGTGACACAAAATGCCACGTCTGATTCCGCGTGGAAGCCGGCTGCTCTCCATACCAGTCCTGGACCACGGATATCCCAGGGCAGTGATGGTGAACCTATGACACGCGTGTCAGAGGTGCCACGCAAACTCATTTTTTTGGTTGATTTTTCTTTGTTAAATGGCATTTAAATATATAAAATAAATATCAAAAATATACATCTTTGTTTTACTGTGGTTGCAAATGTCAAAAAATTTCTATATGTGACACGGCACCAGAGTTAAGTTAGGGTTTTTCAAAATGCTGACATGCCGAGCTCAAAAGGTTCGCCGTCACTGTCCCAGGGGGTCAGCTGTCAAGGTTCATTTTCTGTCATCGGTGGGGCCCGTGTAGCTCGTGGGGCCAGGCCTGGCCACGGGAAGTGCACGCTCGAGTCCCCAGGAGGACGGGCATCCGCGTGGCAGCCTGCCCCCCGGTGGAGGGTTTTTAGAAAGTTCTTTTCACTGTCGCTCCCATTTTCTTAGAGCGGTGGGATTGTTTCAAAAACAATAAATAAATTCATCAATCTTTTGTGTTTTTTTCCAAAAAAGAAAAGAAACCGTCCTGTCACTCTCGCGGCAAAAAGAGCCCCTCAAAGACCAGCCTCTGGGAACCCGGTGAGCCCGACACCCCCGTCACCCCCAGCAGCTGGCGCCCGGCACTCACTGAGCTCCCAGATGTCAAGAAACCGCGCCCTGTGACTCCAGATCAGCTCCAGCTGCCCCACCAGCACGGCGCCGCCGAGCAGGTCCTCGGCCACCTTGGTGAAGATCGAGTCGGCCGTCGCCATCAGCTTCTTGCCTTCCTCCGTGATGTGCGCCAGGACCTTCTCGTCGGTGCCTGCCCAGGTGAGAACAGAGTCTAAAGCCCGTGGGGCCCCTCCTCCCGGCTCCCCTCCCCCCAAGCGGAGGGCGACAGGGACCTCCCCGCTGCACGGCCCCAACGCCCAGGCAGCGCGAGGGGGGTCACGCTCAGGAGGGTTAGGTCTGAGACGCACTCCCACGCACCGAAAGGTCTCCGGTTCGATTCCCGGTCTGGGCACATGCCTGGGTCTCAGGCTCGATCCCCAGTCGGGGGTGTGTAGAAGGCAGCCAATCGATGTTACACTCTCATATTGATGTTTCTCTCTCTCCCTCTGCCCTCCTTTCTCTCTCAAGTCAATGAAAACATATTTTTAAAAAATGAAGGTCCATTGCCCTGGCCGGTGTGGATCAGTGGTTAGACTAGAGGGTCGGCCCCGCGGACCACAGCGTCTGGGGTTTGATTGCTGGTCAAGGGCATGTACCTGGATTGCAGGTTCAATCCCTGGCCCAGGACCCTGGGAGGCAACCAATCGATGTGTCTCTCTCACATCAATGTTTCTCTCTCTCTCTCTCTCCCTCCCTCCCTTCTACTCTAAAAATCAATGGAAAAATATCGTCGGGTGAACATTCTCAAAAAGAAAAAAAAGAAAGAAAAACGGGACCTTCAGGGGACTTGACTTCCAGGACGGCCTGGGGGACGGAGCAGCTGTGCACAGCTGTGCCAGGGACGGGCCCTCAGGTGTCCTCCCCACAGACAGGCACCCCGGCCCAGCCAATCGGCTTCCTCGCCGGACACCCGCCCGCCCTCCCCGAGCGTCAGGTCCAGCGCCCACCCCGCCGCAGGTCCGCGGGACGCGAGTGGACACCCCGAGGACACACCGTAGAGCTTGAAGAGATGCGTGACGTCTGGCCACGTGAGCAGGTACCTCAGCACCTCCGCCAGGTCGTCCACGGCCTCCCCGTGGCGCCTGGGCCAGGACTTGGTGACCACAGCGGACACGAGGGTCCCGAACCTCCGCAGGTCGCTGTGAGGGACTCCCTCCAGGATGCTGAGCTGCGACTAAAGGAAAGGAGGACGGAGAAGGGACAGGGAGGCGCGTGTGTGTTTAACTGGTTTGTTTTTAAGTGACAGTTGTTACCCGATCGCGCTTCAGAAATCGTCTGTGACTCGTCTTACAAGCTCCAAAAAGAAGCAAAAGAGAAAAATGCTTCACTTTTCTTAGGGACTTGGCTTCGCTGTGAACTGTGTCCTTGAGCGGTGACCCCCGGAGACGGGGAGACGGGGACCCGCTGACTGGCCCCACGGCCACGCCCTGCCTCCGGCTCCCGCCGCCTGCGTTCTGCCCGTATTTTCCTGTCGTGAGAAACGCCGCGTGGAGCGCAGTCGTCAGTGCACCTGCGCTTTGTACCCTGAACCTCCTTCGTCCGGAGCCCACCCGCCCGCACGTGGCGCCTACATTTAGGCCTCTTTCTGCTTCCCCATCCAGACACAAATGCTGTCCTTCTTTAGCTGCAAAGTGTTTACCAAAAGTTTCAGTAGTTAGTAAAGAGAGAGAGAGAGAGAGTTTACAACAGGTTCTTTCTGAAATTTAAAAGGATAAAAGGGCCCTGGCCCGTGTTGCTCAATGGTTAAAGCGTCAGTGTGTACACCAGAGAGTCTCGGGTTCGACTCCCAGTTAAGGGGACGTACCTGGGTTACAGGTTCCATCCCCGGCCCCAGTCAAGGTGTGCGCAGGAGGCAACCAATCGATGTGTCTCTCTCACATCGCTGTGTCTCTATCTTCTCTCTCTCTCTCTCCCTCCGTTTTCCCCTCCTGCCCCCCGCCTCCCTCCCTCTCTTCCATTCTCTCTAAAACCAATGGGAAAAGATCCTCAGGTTTGGATTAAATAAACAAAAGGATGAAAGAATGCTAGGGATGAAACGTTTGTTGAACATAAAAAACAACTTAATGTAACACATCACATCATAGAAAGAAGTCGCATGACTGTCTCAATCGACTAAGGGAAAGTACTAGACACAATC